TCTTTTAAGTTTTTACAAACTTAATCTTTACCTGACATGTTTTATTATTAGACCATATAAAATTAACTTATTTTTTCTCCCCAACTGTTTGTCTTCAATTCTTACTGGAATAATTTGAAACTAAAAATTAAGCCTTGGTAAAATGTTCATTTTTACTGCTGCAATTTTTCCAAACAGGACAATTTCAATTTTCTCTATCTTAAAATGTCTACCATTTTACTTTTCTAGGTCTGGGAATAATTGTTCTTGATTAAGCCTTTATTATTTTTTGTAAAATACCCAAATTCATTCATTCTAAGCTGTTCTTTGCTAAAAACACTGTTTTTCCATTATCAGATAGAGGTTCAGATGACATTCATATGTCATATTTTGAGTTTTGTTATTAAATTGATATTGAGATAATGAATTATGCTGCTGTGTTTATTCTATAATTAGTTCTAATGAGTCCTTTGGGCAGGTAGCATATTTTTGTAAATGGTTCTTGATTGGATAATTTAATTCTTGAAATTTTATTTTCTGTCATATTTTCTTTGCCAATAGTTCTAATGTCAGTAGAAATCAGGAAGGAGAGAGAGGGCATCTTGAGTGTTCCCTTCATTATAATACATGTTTGTGATAAGCCCAATTACTATTTACCAAGTAAATGGGAGATTATTTTACCCTTAGACTGTTTTTGTCATTACACAGATTTAAAACTAAGTGCTGTATTGTCAAGAATAAGATTAAGTGTATTATACAGCATGAGAAATATGAATGAAGAATAAAGCTAAGCCAAAAGAGCCCCATACCCAGAAAGACTTGGAACAAAATGGATGCTATTGTGCCATTCAGAAATACAGATATATGCAGATCTTTTCTGTCAAGATATGAGAGGAACTGTCAGAAATATTAGGTAATGCTTTGCAACCAAGTATGGCTTCCTATAGACTCTTCAGTACGGAAAGGATTCACAAGGATCCCCTCCCCCCCGTATAAGATCATCTTTGGACAATGGCCATAATATCGGATCTTGCACAGTTGGTCTAGTCAGACATAATTTCCACTAGCTGGCTTCCTACATTTCATTAGCTTTAAACTGTGTCTAACTGTAATTATTGGCTTCAGATATTATATTAAGTCAAAGGCATGCTATGGGTTAGTGTGAAACCAACCAACTGTGATTTCCTTAATGTAGCAGCGCTAACAAAAGAGTAATTTAATGAAGTATGAAGCCACTAGTTGTGTTAATTCAATTCCCTAAGCATAATTGTATAATCCTACTAAGGCAAATCTCCTTTAATTTGACCTGGTGATTTCATGGTCATATCCATATGGATTTCTGGCCAGAAGAATAGAAGTGATTGGCCATTGGCTTTCTCCAGGATGTTTTGCTTTGTGGTTTGTGTTCATTTTCTAATCCAGTTTACAACCATAGGATTTCCTGATGGTCACGTGTCTTAGTAATATCCTGATCTTACTTAATTTCTTGAGATGGTCCCTTACTTAATTTCTTAGCTAATGGTCCCTGGAAGCTGCTACCCAGCCGGTTGTAATTAGGGTAGATTTAATATCTTACAGTTGACTAGGTTTACACAGCATAATAGCAACCATAGCATATTGTAGTACATTATATGAACACAGGCATTGGCTCTATCTGCACAATATACAAAGCTATAACTTTCAGATAATTAGTGTAAACTGTCATATTGCTCCCTGTTGTGCATGTCTTGGTGTTTCTAGACAAGATGGCAAAATGTTTTGATCCATGCAGTGCCATACATTGCAAAAAGACAGGTAAAGAGCTTCATGCAGCTGATGGTAGTATGAAGGGCTTCGTCACTGAACTTTACAATGAAATGCATTGTGTGAACATAGCCATGGTTAACTTGCAATTGGTTTGCTAGTGTCTCAGTGTATTATACAAATTAGGTTAATATAGTCCATCAAGTGAACAAACTTACGTTCAAAACAGTGTCTTCTCTGGATACTGTGCATCTAGTACATTTTCAGTTGATTTCTACTTTTAGTTCAGTATTGCTGCCTATTAAAAAGCTGGTATAAATTTCCTTCAAGAATTTAAGAGGGATCTTGAATTGTGGAAGTGCCCAGTGGAGACTAAGTGTGCTCGATAGCCACTGGTTTTTTAAAAAGAAGAGGTGAAATTTAACTGGTGGCAAATAATGAGTGACCAGTGAAAAGGAAGGTGTGGTAATGCCTGGAGCATAGAAAGGAGACAAGGGAAAATGCTAGAGTTGTCCTCTTTTGATTCAGTTTCATGACCCTTAAAGAAATGAAGAGTAAAAATGGGTAAAAATATGCAGAGATACCTTGCTGTTGTAAAGAGTAGAGCTTAAAAAAACCTTGCAAAAGTCACACTTTGCCAGACACCAAGTTTCTAGGGACATTTATCTTTTACTTTTATCCTTTCTCTCTCCCCCCCCTTAGGTGCAGAAAAGGGATAGGTTTGGCTAAGCTCTTGGTTCATCTGGTGCATATGATCCCTCTTGTAAGTGCACCTAAAAATGCTTTGTTTAGGTTTTGGCTGTTGGCTGATGTGACAGTTCATGCAAATAGAAACAACCAAGATTGGCAAGAGCTCTGCAAAGGGATTTACTCTTGAGTTGTCATTTAGCATCAAATAGTTTTGAAGATAGCTTTGCAAATATGCATTCTATAGTAGCTCATTTGCCCTGTATGGTAGTTTGGAAGGGACTGTGGCTGAGAGGCATCTTATGCTCATGAAGTGTAGTTCTTCTGACCAGTATACCATCCTTAAACTTCTTACAAAATTAAAGCAGCTCACTTCTATTCCAATATAGGGAGAGGTTTCTCCCCAAAATGGCTGCTAAGCAGCAGCAGCAGCATATGAGTGCCAGTGTGCTGAACTGGTTTGAGTGCTTAGGACCAAGCAAAATTCAAATCCCCCACTTAATCATAAAGATCACTGATGACTTTGAAGCACTCATTCCCCCTTAATTAAGGCTCTCTTGTTTTAAGGAGAGAGTCATGTGTCTGCAGCCTCATGTTTTTGGAAAGAGCTGAGAACATGTAATAAAAAACAGCAGACAAACGGAGATACTTTTGCCGCATATTTTATTTTAAGCTTTATTAAAACATTTTGATAAAACACATTTTTAAAAAAATTGAAACATTTAAAAGGATTGTCATGAACGTTTAAAATAATTTGTCCTGATTTCTTCTTCCAATGGGATCTTCATGATAAAATCTGGAATAACATTAGGAGTCAGTTAATTTTTAATATTGATAAAGGTCCAAAACGGGAGGGAAGGGGGAGAAACTGCTAATTATATTGCTTAACACATATTGGTTTTGAGATGTGAAAAAAATCCTGCCCCCAACACTAATACTAGTTTATCTGGACAAGAAATCCTAAGCTAGCCTTTTCTAGCATGGCCTCTAATCCTATTTACTGTTCATTTTCCTGTATTGTAGGCAAAAAAAAGAAGCAGCTTTCCTTGCCCTCCTTTTCACTGTTCACTTTGACTACATTGGCACTATTTCAAATAGGAAAAAATGTCTAGCTTCAGGACTTTGCTAACCAGGGCTTTTTTTGTCATAGAATGCTGAGAACGGAGTTCCGGCACCTTTTTTGGATGGAACCTTCTAGGGTAGGCAAGGTGGGTTGTATGACATGTGTGAGTTCCGGCACCTTTTTTTTTTTTTTACAAAAAAAAAGCACTGTTGCTAATTCAATTCTAGCTATCACTAAGGCGATATGAACATAACTGTGTAGCAGCTCAGATATAATAGGAAAACTTTATTAACCTCTCACCCCATTTAACCTCTAGTATGAGCAGTTTTTGGCTGGTCTCAATTCACATCCTACTCTGTGAGTCAATTTCTGGTGGTACCAATCTTATGGCTCCCAGTCTTTTTTTCACCTAAAAAAATGAGCTTTTTTTGTTGCTTCTGTTGTAATTAAATTAGATGGCCTTTGTAATGGCCAAACATTTTTTAAAGTGCCATCTCCCAAGAAAAATAGCTTTTGCAATTACTCATTAGCAATGAAACTTGTTTGCTTCTATGGATATGTAGGCCTTAAACAATCTGCACCTCAGTCTATCTCAAGGAAACCATGGTTTATAAATCGCACTGGATTGATTGGTTCATCTCAAGCTAAAAATTAGAAATTCTATAATAGATTATTTAATTCTATAATGCATTACCTTTGTAGCTGTAGATTCTACTTCTTCTGTTCAGAATAGCTATCAGGAAGAATAATATGAACATCAGTAATTATACATGTCTTAAATTAGCCTCTACTAATATTCCAAGAATTTTTCTTTTTCTAATATTAAAAAAAATCAAATGGACTTAAAAAAGTTTTCCAAATTAACAGCAGAGCAGCTTTCATTCATGCAAAAAGGGCTGTAAGGATACAGTGCTGGTGTCCATGCTTCAGTTTGTAGGGAAGATTGGATATGTAATTCCTTCTTCCAAAATAGAATTGAGTCTAGTGCAACTGATACACTATTCTATGAAGAATTCCCTACCAGAGTCAATAGGAAAAAAATACTATCTAGAAATTGCCAGAAGGTATATTTGACATGTCACAGATATGTTTGATAACGTTTAGATGCATTTGATAACTTTTGTTATAAACGAATTCTTCAAAACCACAACTACCCAAAGGAGACTGATGCCTGCCAATACTGACTCTTGCCTTGATCAACATGCTTCCACTACAGTGCATTCTATATGCAGTTTCATTTGTAGACAACTTGGAGGCTGCATGTATGTTGTCTAAGCAAAAACATTGTTAGTATGCAATTTTCACCCATTGTAGTACTGTACTATGCTTACTCTCCCTCCATCCCCCATAATACGGCTTCTTATTACAAAGCTCTTCTACACCATAAAACAGAGACCCCCTTTGACATAAAAAAAAGTTGATTGTCCCAGATTTAAGAAATGCTATCGACCTCATGTCATTTGTTAAACCATTTTGATGCTGAATTAACATGTGAAATACAGGCAGAGCAGTTATTCTGTTGACTCACCTCTTCCCAAAAACAAAAAGAGGAGCAGGAGATTTATCAGCATCTTTAAAAAAGAACAGTAGTAAACAAGTATTAGAGGCTGTTTGCATCATTACATAGCTGGGAAGCTCTTTTTCGGTTTTTGCAAGAAGCGCTCAAGCAGATAAGACATGAACTATATACTCTCGTGGGATAGTTATGCTTAATAGCAGTGTTAAACAGAATTATCCTATTTTACCAAAGCATCAAAAGCATTCTAGATACAAATACAAAAATATTATTCAAATCCTTCCCGTTGGTTCAGAATCTTAAGAACGGGGACAGCCTAAGCAAAAATAAAAGGAAGGGAAGAAAGAAAGAAAGTATAATACAATTCAAGTAGCGCTGCCTGAATCAAGCTCCAGTCAGGAGAAAGATGGCAGTGGAGTTATTTGATCAGTTTCACTAAGTCTCAGATCTACTTAAACCCTTTCTTAAACCATTGTTCTTGTATCTTCGATGAATGAACTTGCTGTTCTTATCATCATCTAGGGCAGCATGCCGTTTTGAAAATTTTTCTCATCAAAGGCTGTTAAGGACAATTCTAAACTTCATAGAGCACCTCAGACAAATAAATAAAGGATGCTCTCCGTCTTCATATAATCTAAATCTAAATTTGTTCTCAGTGGTTGCAATTCAAAAGTGGTAAAAGACCTCTTTGGCCTAAATCGGCAGGAACACGTAAAATTTTTTTGAGAAAGAGATCTGCTTCCTTATTCTTTTTTAAGTTGGGGATTTTTAAGAGGGAAGGAGTTACTGCTTTGCTGTAAAAAAAAAAGATAATTGCATTCGGTTCAATTACAATGTGTTTCAATTTGGAAAATGTGTGTATGGTGCTGTATTCTGGAAATAAAAGCTCACCAGCCTCCCAGTCTTCCTGCGAAGGTGGGCTTTGCCGGCCAGTTACCTCTTTGATTCCCATGCTTAGACTGGTAGCCCCTGCAAGCAAAATGTTCAGAAACAGTTATGAACAGTTAGATACAGATACCTAACAGTTATAAACAGTTACACGCAGTGATATTTAGTTCCAGGGCTGGGCGTATCTCTTTAAGACGTTAGATCTCATGTTTGTGAATTCACATAATGAGATACTGAAATTCAAAGCAACTCTGCTGCAAGGCAGAGCAAAGGGCAAGAGCCTTGTCTCTGGTAACCCATCAGATCTGATAACCAGTAGCTTTATTAGCTTTCAAACAAGCTCTTGAAATACATAATTTTGCATAGGCTTTAAACCGCAGACTACAGTGGTTAATTTTAATGATTTTAAATTTGCTTTGCTCGCTTTTAGTGTCATTAAATGTTTTTAATGTCAATTTTAACTGCATGTTTCATTTTGAACCGCCAGGAGACTTTGGTAGCTGCTCTATCAAGCTAAATGAATAATTTTTTTTTAAAAAGGGTCATTTTGTGAGAAAGAGTTTGCCATGGCATAAAATATGAAAAGTAATGGAAGCTCTCTATTGTTTCAGGTGAGATCCCTTCTTAAATACATAAACATTTTTTGATTATTTGCTGAGAGAAGAAAGGGGAACAGAAGAACAGCTTCTACTTTGTGCAACAGACAATTTCAGACACGATCTAAATCAGGCAGCCAACATGAAATCATCTTTCAGGATCAAAGGTTCAGTACTGCCCGCTTTATTGCTTCATGTCCAAGTTTAAATGCAGGGGAAAAAGTATGTTAATTGCATGTCTTTTTTACTTCTGTTTGGAGGAACAAAGCATAAAATGTTCCTAAATGTCATTTCATAAAATCAAAGAACAGAGGGGAATCACACCCTTTTCCAGAAGGTTCCTGTACTTACTCTACTTTCTAACAGTGTATTTTGAATTCTTTGCCCAGGAAAACATACACAGTGGTCACATTTCTAAGTTTTAAAAGTTCATTGAACCTCCCATGTTTCCTTGTAGACTCCCATACAACACCAAGGTTTATATGTGGATATTGTAATCTTCCTTCACTTACTGACTGCATTGAATGTCAGCCATGATAGCTTTTCACTTTGATCTCCTTACACACAAATCTAATTTTTAAAAAAAGAATGATCTCACAATACTTTTTATATCCTTCTTGCGCACTACAAATTCATTTCTTCTCTTTGCACCTTATTTTCCAACCGTTTGAATATTCAGTATGTGCTTTAGGCAGCACATTTTCCGGGGCTGAAATATTTGGGGATGCTGATTTCTGTAGACAGCATAACCTCAATTCACAAATTTTGTTAACAGCATAATCTATTACACAATGCAAGAGTCATAGCGATCATTTAAGCAGACAAAAGAATCAAACTCTTACCACAGGACCCATCCAGAGCAATTTTACTCTCACAATTTTCAAGATGGGAGTTGAGCTCCTCCTTGGGAATTCTATGGCGGGCATTATAGGGGCATGTTGCTAGTTTTTTAGCGATCTTCTCATTGTTCTAGGCAAAAAAGAAAGAAACCCAAGAAGTTATTATAATGTAAAAATTATGACTGTTTCCAGAATCCTGTCATCAGTGATACTGCAGAAAAGATGTATTTGAAATATAAAAGATGTAGCAGAAAAGGAATTGTCAATCCATTTTTTTAAACCTGGAGGAGCCCTCAGAGTGCCACTAATACCTCAGGAGTGGAAAATTAAGGGACTTCGCAATCTTTTGACACTTAACACAATTTCCTAAGGAGCAATGGCATGTGGAACATGAAAATAGATCTTGGCAATAGTAAATTTCAAGATAAAAAAACTCAATAGTTTAGGAAAAGGTTTTGGGTCAAGTCCCACAATGGACTGTTCCCAAAGGAAACTGTATGGGATCACTATGACAAGATCATAAAACAACACCAGTGTAAGTTTTCTGCTGTTTTGTTCATATATATTTTTTTCATCCACAAGTTACTGAATAACATTCTGCCTTGGAACCTGCAAAACGTTCTGTTGTAGGCAATCCTGAGTTTTCAGGAAGTGGAATGATACGGAATAGGTCTTTTTTTGTGTGTTTTCATTTCAGGTCTGCTTTGTGTTTTCATTCCAAGAACTCATTTGGAATGAGTTTTGCTTTGACACGTTGACTACTTTAAGAAACATGAGAAGAGTTCACATTGAGGACAGCGCATCTGGTTTCGGAGTTGGAACTTTCTGTAATTAAATGTTCTGAATCTCTCTTTTTTTTCCAGTTTTGTCTAGCTTGGCTTTAAACGTCAGATGCATTTGCCTGCTACGGTTTCATTTTCTCCTTACCTCCTTGCACTTCACCAAATGATAAGGGAAACGGCTGGCTCTGATCTGATGGTTTTTGTCATAGGGACACTGAACCAGCCGTTCTGGGTCCATGAGAGACGTGGGAAGGCTGCTGCGTCGTTGCGCTCCTAAAGATGTTTAAAAATAAGAAAGGTACTAGAATTAGAAAGGTACTATTAAATAGCAAGATACACAGGTGCATATGCTAAGACTCAGTAGAAAGCATAATAGATAAAAAAGAGACCCTTTTGATGCTAATATTATGTCCAAAACCATTCTAATCCTGAAGATTATTTCTTAGATTCTAGAAATTTTAGAAACCATGAAACCATGTTGTTCAGCAGCCTATAACTTACTGTATTATGCTGTCCATTAAAAAAAAAATACAGAGATGAACTCTTGGATTTAATACTTTCAGGTTTTATTTCCACAGCTTATATTCATTTTATGCTCCATTCCATGTCAGCTTATAATTGTATACTTCTGTTTGCGCCTATAGAGAATGTGTCAATTTCTGATCAAAATATTCTATTTCCCAATCAGTTGAGAGAATATTACTTAATACAGAACAATCTATATATATTCCTCTCCTTGCACATTCTGACCATTGTTTAACTTTCTGTATGCAATGGCTGGCTTTAAACTTTTGCAATACATGATTGCCTAACTCTTGTTTTTAAATAAACCACAATTGGTTGGATGTGTACAATAAGTTAAGCCATAAACCAATCAAAATATGACATCATGGAATATGAATCCAGTTCCATATCATTTGGGCTTCTTCAAGACTGCTGGAACAATAAAACAGTAAGAGTGACGCTGTTATTGCCTTAAGTTTCTAAAAGGAAAAAGTGATATATAAATAGCAGAACCATAATGTGATTTTGTTAGCTTTGGTTTACATGTTGTATCAACCATTCCATTTTCCATCTGGCCATAATTAAACAAACCATAACTTAGTATGATCTGTAAACCTGTTTGTACATACATGTAGAAGGCTAAAGTTAGATGTCTTGGGTAAAAGTCGAAAGTTATGGAGAGTTTGCTAAAGTGGCATCTGGTGACCATTTTTCTGAATGAGGTTCCTGTTCTATGACAAGCTTTAAATAATTGAAGTCATGAAAGACCTACACTGAGCCTTCAGAATTGAAATATCTCACACAAAAAGCCCAGCCCCTTTCAGGTTTATTCACTGAGTATGACTAATACGTTAGCTTGCTGAAAGAGTTAGTAAACAGCATTTAGAAAGCTTTCAGTGTTCTGCAGGCTATAAGCTCTTCTGAAATTTGAATCACTTCTGAATAAACATAGAGGCATACGACTCCGGAGGGAATGAAATTTAGGAAAGTTCTGGATGCTTCAGTGCTGCCAGGTTGTTGCTGCAGCCACATGATCCTCATTTTGAGCATTCAGTGACACTTTCAGGCGTTCACACAATTCCTCACTTCCTCCCCCCACCCATTAGTAGCCAGTTGGCTACCTGCTGGGAAGGGAAAGGCCTTGTGCAACCTTCCTGGGCCATGCCACCCGCTTCCCTGACCCTTGCAGCTCCTCTTGCATATCCTATGAGCCCTCCCAGATCTAACCCCCCATGAACTTTCTTTGACCTATGCACCCTCTGTGACCTGTAAGCACCTCTCACACACTCCATGACCCCACACACCCTTGACTGGCACTGCGCCCCTCCCCTACCCAACCTAGGCAGCACCTCTTGCATACCTCTGTGCCCCTCCCTGACCCACATCACTCACTTGCATAGCATCTCCTGTGCACATTGTGCACCCTTCCTGATCCAAACAGCACCTCTTATGCATCCCCATATACCATTTTTGACACGGGACATTCCCTTGCTCTCTTCCACCTGGCAGCACCCACTTACCTGCCTGCTGGCCTTGGACATGTAACTTAACTGCTAGCTTCCCCACTGACTTTGTCCCTGCAGGCTTCCCACAAGCAAAGTTAATTAGGAAGCCAGCAGGAATTCTATGGAGGGAAAGATAGAGGAAGGAAAAAAAGACAATGGCAGAATGACAGGAAGGAAGGGAGGAACTGGAAGGAAGAATTTCCAATGCTCTCTGCCAGTTTCCCATAAGGTCAATGGGCAGGAAGTCAGAAGCCATTTCCATTGGTTTTTTGCCCACCTGTGGTCATTTCTGGTTTCTCTGTTTAAGTAAGAAAATATCTCTGAAACGATCCAATGGGCTAGTACACTGCTAAAACTCTTGTTCCCACAACCTTCAACTGTGCATCATAGGGCAATAATGTTTTTAAAATCTGGGGCTTATGACTCTCGTAAGATTGAAATTTGGCAAAGTTTATCAAACACTTTGTGATATAAAACTGACCATAAAACAGTTTATGACATAACACAAAATGTCGTAAAACATTTCCTATGCTGATGTTTGACTGTGTTCAGCTTGGGCTATTTTCAAGACAGATGCATTTCTGTATCTCAACTTTTCCAGTAAAGGCAATATATTAGATGATGTGTCATTGCTGAAGACATTGAGGAAGCTGCTAAGGAAATTATGATGACCCAACAGGGCATGGATTGTTTAGACTCTAGTGATAGCTAAGCCTATTAATGGATGGTTTACAAATATGCACTGATATGGATTTTAAATAGTTTGTTGAATAAACCATAATAGGTTGGATTTATATATCATGCTAAACCATGTGATTTGTTTGGTCATATATTAATCTGACTATATGTATTATGTTAGGCTGTTTAGTGGTCAAACCTATTCGGATTGGTTCAGTTGGTTCATTTCTGGTTCATTAAATCAGAAATCAAAATATGATTTATAAAGTACAGTGGCTTTCCTCACATAGCAAGCTAAACCATGTTTGATATCAATTTAAATGGCATACAAATCAGTATTCTAAGTCTCAGATGTTTCATTTGTTCCCTGAATCCTATACAAGTCAGAGTAAATTAGAAATTCCCCATTTTCCTAAGCTACTTTTTAGGGGGGGAAAGCTATGAATTTTCTTGACTATGTTTGCACAAATTGGCTAATCTGCAGCTTTTTGGTTAATTAACCCTTACTCTGGGTTTACAATATATATCTAGCCAACTATATTTTTCATGAATTCTATAAATCAAATATAATTGTTTGGTTTACTGTGTTTTGGGGAAGTATATATTGTGATTTGTAAACCATAATCAATACTTCAGTTTGAAGTATGAATCTAACAGTGTTTAATTCAACTAAACATGGAGTTAAACAAATTTTATATTAGCAGAAGGTAAGCCACATCATGGCTTACAAAACACATTGGTTACAGTCTGAATTCTTTATTATGTTGTGCGAACACAGCCATTGGGTTTCTTCACAGATCCAACTCAAACCAGATGTACTTATTTTTCCATTCCATAATGTGTAGGGGTGTGTTATTTTATTGTGTTGTAGAAACACAATTTTGTTTTATTCAACAAACTGGCTTAGTACGATAGATGACTCCAGTCACAAACATTTACTGTATAATTAAAGCAGTAACAAAAAACAAAAGACTTACCTTGCGTTCTTACTTTCCAGCTTATTCCTCAACAGACTGTTAGCTGAATTAAAAAAACAAAAAGGCTAAGTTTTCACATGTGAAAAAGGAAGGGTATTTCATATTGCATCTTATTTATTCAATTTGCATACCCACCCATCTCAAACCAGCAACACTCCAGCAGACAATCAAAACAATTAAGACAAAACACACAACAAAAAAGAAATTAAATAAACATATCAACCAAGAGATATTACTATTTGTTGGTGTCAACATAGCCAGGAAATGGGACCCTTCACCCACTTGGCACTCCAGACCTGGGCACATAATCACATCTTCAAGGTCTTCCAAAGGCCAATGAAGCTAATCTCAGAGAGACATGGCAGAAAAGACATATCACCTGGTCCCCACCAGCCAAATTTCCTTGGCTGGCAAGAACCCACAGCATGCCTGTCCTGCAAGACCAGACTGAACAGGTAAAAACAAGTGGGAAAAGGTGTAACCAAATACAGCCCCCCCCCAAAGCAGCAGCCTTACTTATAACCAAATAACCAGCCTCCGTGGCTCAAGGCTGCTGAAGCTTATGAATACTCTTCAAGGACAGCCCTATTTTATAAAATAGCTGGCCATTAATGGGAACACCTGCCTTTCTCTCTGCTCATTTGCTCAAAGTGCTTCTGTTTAGCAGGGCAAAGAGTTAACACCTAAACAATTGCTAAATTCAAATGAACACAGGTTTCTCCTAGCAATTCAAATGTAGAGTGAACCAAGGGTAGGAAACTTTCTTGAAGAACTTTCTGACATCATTGTGTCCAAGGAAACCATTGTATTACAAAGGGTTGGGGGGATTAAAACTGCATTCACCCTCATATATATCCTTAAAAAATATTATGGATACTTCAAAAATCATATTAACGTAAAGAAGTTTCTCAACTACAGAATAATAGTGTTAGTACAGAACTATTTAGATAGCATTCTTGTTAATGGTCTTAATTAGTTCCTTTCTCACTAAATGCTAACTACCTAATGATGTTGGCTGGCTAATTTGTGGCTCAGTGGTCTAGTTAATGGTTCAGGGTTGAGCAAACCCAGGCAATTTAAGTAAGCCATGGATCAACTAACTGTGGATTGGGTTGTTTTCCAAACACAACCACTAGCTTATTGCATGATTTGCTCTTCCCTCTAAATTTCATCTTCATTTTGACTCAAGGTTTGCCAAGAGTTAGTACTGTAGTCCAGCTAAGAGATCCAAAACGCTGGCTGTGGGGAACAAAGTTTTTTTTAATGCACCAGGAAGAGACTCATAGTTGGGAAAAGGACCCCAGTTTGAAGAAAGGCAGGATACCTTGTTTGACGTGTACAGCAAGGATAACTTCCAAGCTAAGGTTGGCAGACATCCCACCTCAACTCTTTGCTGATTACTGGTTCTGGGTAAAACGGGCAGAGATAGTAAAGAGAGTACATCTGTTTAGAGTAATGTCAGAGCCATGAATTCATCTGTTTATTCATTAGTACAATTGGTATAACATAAGGACTTTTGTGCTCCTATGTGAAACCTCTTGTAATCAAAAGGTGCCTGAAAAACCCTTTTAGGGCCAGTAGCCTTTTGGCAACTCTTATTCAGGCTAGGAGAAAAACCCATTATAGCAATTTGGGTTCCTAGTTTGCAGTTTCCATCTTACCTTGAACAGAAAGCCTCAGGCTTGAAATGGGGGAAAACTCTCTGCTTTTTCCCTATTATCTCTCTTTTGTAACTCTATACCTGAGGAAGAGTTTTAGTGAAGTCAAAAGCTTGTACATTCTTTTGTGATCCTTAGGTTGTAGCAAATACAGATGGTTTGGTTCTGGCGAGTTGTGCCTATGAGTCAATTTTTGACTCCGGATGACTTCAGGACAATGTTGACGACTGTTGGCTACCTGGACTAGTCCTGCAGTTTTCTTGGTAAGCTTATCTCTCATACAGTTTAGTATTAGGTGTTTAGTTATTAGAGAACCAATTTGCTATACTATAGTGGTTAAAAACCAGGAGCCATGGTTTCTTGTCCCACCTTAGGCACAAAGCCAGCTGGGTGACCTTGGGCCAGCCACTCATTCTCAGCCCTAGAAAGGAGGCATTGGCAAACCACTTCTGAAAAACATTGCCAAGAAAGCTTCAGGGACTGGACCAGGTAGTTGCTAGTTGTCGATCTTAACTTGAAGGCACAAAAAAGTCATCTAGATATGGACCACCAAGTGATTGTATTCCCATGACATAGTTCTGGTTACCTAAATACAGGAAGTCCTTGACTCACAACCACAACTGAGCCCAGAATTTAGGTTGCTAAGTGAGAAATTGGTTAAGTGAGTTTTGCCCCATTTTACAACTTTTCTTGCCACATTTGTTAAGAAAATCACTCCAGTTGTTAAATTAGTAACAGGGTGGTTAAGTGAAATCTGGCTTCCCCCGTTGACTTTGCTTGTCAGAAGTTCGCAGAAGGGGGTCACATGGCCCTGGGACACTGCAATCGTCATAAATATGAACGAGTTGTCAAGCAGCCAGATGTAAATCACGCAACCGTGGGGATGCTGCAACGGTCATAAGAGTGAAAAAATGGTCCTAAGTCACTTTTTTCAGTGCCGTTGTAACTTTGAACGGTCACAAAGTGAACTGTTGTAAGTCGAGGACTACCCGTGTTTATTTATTCCACCCATGGGCGTCGGGGATGGGTGTTCACGTGATACCGTCTGTACAGGGGATGGGTTCACAAGGCTAAAATGCAACTGACTAGAGTCCAGTGTTTCTCAACCTTGGCAACTTTACGATGTGTGGACTTCAACTCCCAAAATTCTCCAGCTAGCAACGCTAGCTGGAGAATTCTGGGAGTTGAAGTCCACACATTGTAAAGTTGCCAAGGTTGAGAAACACTGGTAGACTGTGGTTCATTATGTCATATCATAGGAGCAGAGCAGTATAAGTAACAAGCTGGGCAGAAGTGAAAGAAGATGTTTAACCACAGGAAAGGGTAGCAGTGTGGCTTTGCCTCAGAGCTGCTCTGCTCATTGATTCGCCTGGTTACAGGAAGTCCCAGCCTCATAGGGGAAGCTACATAAGAGGAAGCGTTGCAGTGAAGTTTGCACGATAAGCTGAAAGCCCAAAGAGCAAATTGTGCCACAGGAGTTGGGGCTGGGTGTGACCGCTTTTGAATTGCTCCCCTCATCGGGCCTGCAAGCCCCACGGGGCGCTGCCAGTTCTGTGGGAAGATGTCCCTGTCCTCCGTGTACGAGCACAAATTTGCCG